GCCTTCCCATGCGTATGTGCCCCGTGTCGGTGAAGTTCCACCAAAAACAACAAACTCTCCAGCAACCTCGGGATTTCGCATTCGGACATTACGCCTCAGGAACAGACGACCTATAATCGAGTATTAAATTATTAGTCAAAGCAGTCCATTTGAAAGAAGGCTTACTTCGCCTTGCACCAGAAGAACTAGTGGAATATTGAGGGTCACTAGAAATAAAAGCGTCCGCAACTCTATTTCTTGTAGATAAACCATTCGGTTTCAAGTCAGCACTATGGTTATTACGTCGATGTTCTTCATCGGTCTCCTGCAAAAACGTCCAAAAATTGCCTACAATAACTCCACCAAAATTAAGACAAAGGTAAACCAACCTCATGTTGCTCCGACTCATCGTCACTGCTTGCCTCTGGAGCAACGTTTTCACTAGTTTGAGCTACATCACCCTCTTGCGTTTCTTCCTAGAAAAAAACTTGCTTAGAAAAACAATTAGATGTCAAAAAGGACCACTTACTTCTGTTTCTGTATCAACTAATTCAATCGTAACTACAGGTGTCTTCTCATAGATTACAAAAATTTTAAAACAATTTTGGCAGTTGAAGAACGTCTCAGCAGAGCGCGCATACTCTTCCTCAGTTCTAGAAAGCGTTTCATATGATTCGAAAAAGTGAAAAGCAAAAAGAAGCAAACCTACTTTATCTTCTTTTGAGACTGGCTGAAAACTGATATTGGTTGTTCATAACGATACTTTTGATACAGCTTCATGGTCTCTAGACCATCGGGGCCAGTAGCCAGAAAATGCAACTGGCGACCAACCATAGCGATTAGCTTGTCTATTGTGGTCACAAGATACCCGTCTATTGGGAAAAGAACGCTGTAAAGAAAGTTATTAAACAGGGAGTGTATGGTAACAGGGTGAGCAGGCAGTAAAATTAGTATAGAAAGTGTAGACAGTATATGAAACATTGATATCACATGCGGCTCATCCTATGCGTAACGTAAACTTCGAAAATAAAACAATATTATAAAACTAACCGAACATTGTCCTCAAAGGTATTTGAATCAATATTTCCATCCAAAAGGTTTTTGATTTCGTTTAGTAAATCAGCATAGTTGGAAGCAGGATTACGACGAGGATTCTGGAAGTAAAGATTCCTATGCTTGACATTAGATTGCA